CCTGTATGACATTCTTTCTTAAACAAAAGGTACAATATCCTGGCTCAGTTTTCAACAATTAAAGTGAATGAGAACTAGGGCTGTCAAGCTTCAAAAAGGACACAAAATCACCATATAAGTATCATAAAAGTGGCTCCCAGGACTTATATTTCAAGTCTTCTGAAGCCTGAAACAACAGTTTTTTTGTGACAAACAGAACAGTCATTCATTGCTATTCTTCACTTCCAGTGATCTGTTAACTTTTCTGTCTGATTTGTGAATGATCTTTTTCAGAGAAGCTTTGTAAAACAGACAATCTGATTTATTTAAACTCATTCATCAAAAACTTTTTTAGATTTGTATTTATTTATTTATTTTTAGAGTTGGGTGAACTGTCCCTTTAAGAAGACAAACCTCATTGACTCCATTATTTAAAGCAACAGGATTCACTTCCTATCAAGTCATCAAATCCGATCATCCTCAGTGAGAGGTCTTGCAAAAACACCCAGGATCCTTTTATATAAATAATATAAACTGGCATGCATTCTGCCTGGGCCCTTGCGTTTACTAAAAGTTAGGAGGAAAACAACGCCCAAGACGCCCTCTCCACTGATCCAATGGCTTATCCTCTCAGTCATCTGTAATTGACTAAACTGCTTCTGAGGACAGGATTTCAGAAGTCTCACTTCAAAACGTCAATAAGCAGATGAAAAATTACTAATCATAGAAACTAGATCAGAAGTTCATCATGTCAAAAAGAGCCTTCAGGCCTGTTAGAGTACGTTATTATGCTACAAATAAATTTAACATCATTTGCAATGCTTATAAAATGTTTATTTTGCTAAATAAATTTCATGCTTATTATTAAAGCAATAGTTCACCCAAAAATGCAAATTTGCTGAAAATGTAGTCACCCTCAGGCCGTCCAAGACGCATGCGATTAATCGTGCAGCCCTAATGTAGATGAGTTTGTTTCTTCATCATAACAGATTTGGAGAAATTTAGCATTACATCACTTGCTCACCAATGCATCCTCTGCTGCAGTGAGTGAATGGGTGCCGTCAGAGTCCAAAATCATCACAATAATCCACAAGTAATCCACACAACTCCAGTCCATCAATTAACATGTGAAGTGAAAAACTAAATTTCTCCAAATCTGTTATGATGAGGAAACAAACTCATCTACATCTTGGATGACCTGATGGTGAGTAAATCTTCAGCAAATTTTCCTTTTTGAGCAAACCATTTCTTTAAGTCTCTGTGACCGGATTATTACACAACACAAATCTTTGCAATCAGTGCAATCAAAACATAACGCACATGCATTCATGTCTATTTTGCCTTACTTGACAGTGCATGTTAAATGGACATATTATGATTGGACATATTATGATTGGAAATGATGATGACACCACACACATAGTACATACCAAAAATGGGCATGTTCATACTACTACTACAAAATAATCTCTCTGGAATTAACATAAAGTGTCTATTTTTCTGGCTTTGATTTTTAAAAGCCCTCAGAAATACACTTTGCTGGAATTGTGTCAGAATGTACTCAATATATTACCCATGATGCCTGTGATAATTACACTGCAAAAACCCACACAGATACTGCAGATGCTGTCATGCCATCTCACTACTCACTTAAGACGGTTGGATCATCGCAAAAATTAAGCTGCGGGAGAACTACAGGGCGTCATCTCTAGTTGCTCCGGTTGCCAAAGGTGCAGGTCTATTTCATAACCTCATTGCTTGCAGGGAGAAGTAATAACAGGTCCAAACAGGACGAGTCAATAGAGAAACCCAAGCAGGGTGAGAGACTAGACCGATGACATCAAATATACTATGACACCAGCTGAATTGTTAAGAATGCAGAAAACAAAATGTACAAAATATATTTTCCTGATTTGGAGCGAATTGAGAACATTGCAGGATTTCAGATGGGCTTTTTTACATCTGCATGTCCAAGCACTGCATACTACACAATATGGATGCATATTTATAGTTAACTAGATGATAAATTTTCAGAAAATATGAATTATCAGAATCAGAAAGAGCTTTATTGCCAAGTATGTTTGAAATCCTTATTTGTCCGGGAGAGCAGAAGAAGTTCGTCCGTTTTGTTGGGTAGAGAGCGGAGATTCGCCATATGGATGCTCGGCAACGGCGTTCTGAATCCGCGCTTCCTGAGCTTCACGAGTGCGCCGGCTCGCTTCCCCCGTCTGCGCGTCCTGAAGTGCTTGATCAGCGCAGCAGCTCCGCCGACTACAACGTTCAGCAAAACGTCCGAATAAACGAAATCCGGTAGAAGATTGTGTGGTGTGTTCTGCCGAATGTTCAGCAGCTCATCCCTGGTAAAACTGATCGTGTTTGAGAAACAAAAAACAGGAAAAACTAACAAAAACAGTACAAACACTGGAGAGCCAAACACTTAGTCTGCCGTCTGCGGCGCCATCGCATCGATATCCCTAACAATAGGGATTCTGACTGTATCTGACTGTACTGACACTATTGGATGAGAACACAAAAACTTAAACTTAACCGAGCTGGAGAATGACAGATCTGTCTTCTGTAAAGCTGCTTAAAGTCGCTTCATAATTGAACACACAATTCAACACCGCGACAATGTGATTGAACTGAAATGAATCAACGCTGAATTTGAACTGACCTGAATAATGACACTATTGTCTTCTGTAGAGCTGCTTCACAGCTAAATTTCAAGCGGTTTCGAAACTGATGAATTCTGCTATATTAACACTGTTATTTTTTCTGTTTATAAAGCTGCTGCTACAAAGCACTATATAAATAAATGTGACTTGACTTTAGTGTCAACATTAATGCATCAAAATTCACCTTTTAATTCAACCATGTACAATTAATTCTCCATGGTTCAACAATAACCAACAAATACCCCTTATGTATAATAAAATCTGAGATGCACTGCATCAGCTAACCAAACGTTATTTTTCACACCTTTAAAATGCAATAGAGAATCTGTTTATATAGAGATAATTCCTTCATTTATTTGACATGTGAGACCATTCATACAAGGCACATATCCAGTGAAAGAGACTAAAGCTAGTGCAGTGAGTGACTAGATTTTTAATCCAGTATTCTCTAGGCATACTAGCACTGCAGTGGCGGGCAAACTACGACCGAGTGGAAGCAAAACTCCAATTTAAAAAGCAGAAAGCGGGCGAATTAGCACGGCAACTTTCAACTAAGTGCAGACAATGGATAGCGCACTTGACTGGACGTCTGAGCGACATAATTCCTGTGTTTGTGTCCACAAAAAGCTCCCTATCTACCAGCTCCCTCGCGTCCCCCCTCCCCTTCCCAGCTAGTTCGGCAAATGTTCGCGTTGCTTCAAACATTATTGGATGCGCTCCCAAGACACCCTTGCGCGGTGCGTAAACGTTACATAAATCTGCGCCTGGGTCTCGGTTGTCTCACTCACACACACACACACACACACACACACACACACACACACACACACACACACAGACAGGCCAGCCTTTAAAAACATGTAGCGACAAAGCGCTGATCAATATGTTCACTTTCAGCGCCCACAGCGCGTGACGCGAACGCACTGGACTCCCATTGTCTTCCCATCCGTTATTGTTACAATGTTTAGAATGTATCCAGTCTGGGATGATTAATATTGCTACAACGTATCCAGACAGAAAGAATATGCATAGCTACAGTGTATCTAGTTTGGAACCATTAATAGTTACAATTTATCCAGTCAGAAATCATTCATATTATTACAATACAAACATTCAGTTACTCAATCTTAACATTACAATGCATCCAGTTAGATAGCATTGACATAGCTTACCAGTCTGGAACCAATAATAGTTGCAATTTATCCGGTCAGAAAACATTCATATTGTTACTAGTAAGAAATTATTCACATTGCTACAATATATCTTGTCTGAGACCATTATATTATTAGAATATATCCAGTAAAACGATTAATACTGCAACAATATGCCCACTCCATAGCCATTAAAAAAGCTACAATATATCCACTCAGAAATTATTCATATTGCTACAATGTATCCAGTCTGATTAATAATATTATAATACATCAAAACAATGTATCCAGTCAGAAAACATTTACATACAATGTACCCAGTCTGGAACAATTAAAAGTGACAATTTATGCAACCAGAAATATATACAGTCAGAATTTATTTCGGAAATTATTTAAATTGCTACAGTGTACCAGTTTGAGAAAATTAATATGCTTAGAATTTATCCAATAAAAAACTATTAAAATTGAAACAATGTATCCAGCCAGAAATCATTTATATTGCTACAGTAAATCCAGTCTGTGAACACTGATATTGCTAGGTGTCCAGAAATAATTGACATAGCTACAAAATATCCCGTCAGAAATAAATATTGATACAATATCCAGTCTAGAACCATCCAATATTGTTAGCATTTACCGAGTCCAAAATCATTTATCCTGTTACACTGTATCCAGTTATAGTTTTTTGTTTTTTTTCAGTCATACATCACTTATATTTTAACAACGTATCCAGTCTGGGACCACTAACACTGACTCGATGTATCAAGTGAAGTATCTTTCATAATGTCTCTTTATCCAGTCAGAAATCACGCCTGCGTTCTGGCGCACAATCTGCCTGACTTCCACTAAAAGCTATGCGTGTCTCTCTTCCTCTTCTTCTCCCCCTCCCTTTTCTCGGCAGACCCCCCCTACCCCCTCATTTTCCCTCCTTGCCTCCCAGCTAGTTCGGCAAATGTTCGCGTTGCTTCAAACATTATTGGATGCGCTCCCAAGACACCCTTGCGCGGTGCGTAAACGTTACATAAATCTGCGCCTGGGTCTCGGTTGTGCCACAAAAGGCTTTGCTTTCTTTGGCTAGACGACCCACTAACGTGACAAAACCTAAGTGACACAAGGGATAGATATCAGACAAACTGTGGCGATGAACAGAAGTTTGCGCTGTTAATATATTCAGGGAAGCAGCGATGTAACTCACCTTGACAGCCCTGTCCCGCACTACGGAGCCTGATGTTCCAGATAAAGTGCGATTGTTTTCCACTTCCCCGGCCCCTGTCTCCACACCCCAGGAACAGAGAGTGTGTTCGGGGTGGGGGGCCTGGGTGATAGGAATGATCTCGGACAGACAGCCAATTTGGAGTGGGGCAAAGCAACAAAGGCGCTTACTGGAATCCAAAATGCATGTCTCGGGAAGTCTTAAAGATGTGCGCTAGCTTTCCGAAAAGCCTGTATTCCTGCCCTCTCCGCGACACGGGGAATCAGTATCCCACGATTTGTTGGTTGTATCCGGGCGCGTCGCTCGCCTCCTAATCCGCCATGTTGTGCCCCTGTGCCTGGAATGGGAAGCAGCGGATTCCCAGGCCAGGCCCCTCCTCTCCTCTTCCCACGCAGAGACGCCGCGACATCTGGCGGACGGCTTGCTTCCAGGAAAGAGGAATGTACAGTAGGCGCTTAGGTGCAATGCGCCACCCTGCGGCCGGTTGTGGTATTGCGTGTTACAGAGCCGTCTGAGAGGAGCTCTAATGAAGCATATACTGTATGTACTGTAGATTAACTGCAGGGATTTCCTTCAGGTCTTCTTCAGTGTTCGGGGATTTGGCGTGAATTTTGAACAGCTGATAAATTATATCAGTCAGTGTCTGTTTCATTTAAAATAATTGTTATTAATGTATCCCATAAAATGTAGTGGATCATTCTTGAAAAAAGAAACTAATCTTAATCAAGTCTAAAATGTTTTGCTGGTTTAGCAGGTTTAAGTTGCTATCCCAACCTAAATGTAATACAGTTCTATCATAATAATAATGATTTTCTTTTATTTTTTTATTCTATAAAATGAACGATGCCATTTGTTAACAAAATTAGTTAACATGAACTAATAATAAAAAAAAAAACATTTAATAATCTTAATGTTTAATTTCAACATTTATTAATACATTATTAAAATCAAAAGTTGTAAAACCTCATAAATACGTAAAAAAAAAAAAAAAATGCTCATTGTTAATTTTAGTTAATGCATTGCCTGAAATTACCTTTCAATATTACTAATATTTTCTGGGTGGGAAACTTTTAGTTAATAACAATGAGGACATTCAGCATAAAAAAAAGAGAAATAGTCTGACTCCAAACAATTTTTTTATTGCATAAAGATTTTATGAATAAGTGATATTCTCATTCTTTTGTTTTTATTATATTCTGGCATAATATTTATTGTTTTTTTTTTCTATATAATACTTGTACATATTTAAATCATATTTCAACCATGTAAACATGGTCATTGTAGATGACTAATGGAAGATTTCTCTTATTGCAAGGCCATCACTTTGTATAGCACATACAGTTTTCATTTAGAGCAATATTACTAAAAAAGACAACATATTTGCCAGAATATTATATAATATTTTATTAATGGTAACAATTAAACAAGTAGCAATTGCAATTAAGTAATAAATAGCTGAATAAATACATATTTTTTAAGCAGCATCATAAAGCAGTACAGTCTGGTATATCATTGGCTCTGGATAGAGACAACATATGAATCTTGAGCTCTATTGTACACTGTGTGATAATCTAAAAGTTAGGCCAATAGCAAGGCTTGAAATGTGAAATGTTGGACCAAAAGAGTTTGACACTGGACAACCAGTGCTGCAGATTGTTCTTAAAATGATATTTGTGGAGCGCGCTGGGATTGGTTTAGATGGCCAGATTAGAGATGACAGCCCTGGTGAACTCATCGCTTGTCGCGTAGCCTCCCAGGTCTGAGGTGCGAACCTACACCAAAAAGAGCAATAAAATATTTTACATTTTATGGTGCACCTAAAGAAAATAAAACAAAAACAGTTTGTCCTCACACACACACACACACACACACACACTTCTTGAACATTCAGCACATTTAGGGTATGATGTTTATTTTGATTTCCAGTTTGTGAATGTTAAATGCAGAATGTCAAATGAGGATGAAGGTCTTCAAACAATGCAAGCAATCCACATACAACCAGTGACTACAAACTGACACTTTTCAATACTTTTGTTTTTACATATTTAATTCTTGGCATTGAAAAAAAAAAAAAAAAAAAAAAAATCACATGACAAAACATTGGTCAGTTCATCTTAAGCATGAATAAACCTTGAAATCTTTGTAAATTGAAATGTGTGGTTTCCACCTTCCCAAACAAGGTAAGAGTGGAAATATTAATACTGAAGGTGCTGAGCTTAGAAAAATACAAAGACAACATGTCAGATCAGTACCGCAATGTCTGAGAGGCAGAGAGATATCATTTGCCTTTGATATCAATCAGTCATCAATGGCACAAAAAAAAAAAAAAAAAAAAAAAAAAAAATCACATGACAAAACATTGGTCAGTTCATCTTAAGCATGAATAAACCTTGAAATCTTTGTAAATTGAAATGTGTGGTTTCCACCTTCCCAAACAAGGTAAGAGTGGAAATATTAATACTGAAGGTGCTGAGCTTAGAAAAATACAAAGACAACATGTCAGATCAGTACCGCAATGTCTGAGAGGCAGAGAGATATCATTTGCCTTTGATATCAATCAGTCATCAATGGCACGAAGCAGACTTCCTGCTCACAACATTTGCATCATCAAATGAATCCAATAATTGCCCATCTGACTTACGACAGCAGCAGATTTGATTAGTGATGTTTACATTAGTAACATTAAGAAGGGCAAAAACATCAAGTATCACTGCTGGCACTTCAGTCTCAATATGCCAAATAGTTTATGAAAACTTGCTGATAATCAAATTCACTGAGGTCCTGGAATCACAAAGGCAATTTGACGAGGACCAGCCCCAAACAGAGATTATACAGAATACAGAAACTAAAGTTAACTATCTAACTTAAACGTCAATTTTAACTTAAAACTGGAGTGAACAAAAAAGCTCAGTAAAGCAATGTCAAACATACACTACCATTCAAAAGTTTAGGGTGACTTTTTCAAGTAATTAAACTTTGCTCTTTTGAAATTTCTATTGATCATAGAATCCTGGGGGAAAAAATATCACAGTTTCCACAAAAATAACAAGCAGCACAACAGTTTTCAACATTGATAATAAGAAATGTTTCTTAAGCACCAAATCAGCATATTAGAATGATTTCTAAAGGATCATGACTTGCCATCACAGAAATACATTTCTTGATTTCAAAATAGAAAAGTTATTTTTAACTGTAATAGTATTTCACAATTTTACTGTATTTTTGATCAAATAAATCCAGCCTTGGTGAGCATAAGAAACTTTTTTTCAAAAATCTTACCGACCCCAAACTTTTAAACAGAAGTGTAATTCAGGTTAAAGATGCATACTTTTTCATCATTCAACATTTTCTTCCTCATTTGTAAGTCGCTTTGGATAAAAGCGTCTGCTAAATGACTAAATGTAAATGCATACTGTGACAAACAGATATGAAAATAAATGTACATGGATGCATTAAAAGAAACAGAAATCAGTAACCAGCCAGAAAAAGGAGAGAAAAAGAAAGCAAGAAATGGGAAAGGAGAAAGAAAATATAATATGACAGGGCTGCTTTAAAATCGTCTTTGAACATATTCAGATCAGAAGTGGCATGTGATCCGGGATAGACATTGGCAAGCATCTTCAAACAGTCCGATGGCGCAGGTTGGCCCCAACCGCACGGACAAAGTCACCAGTGGTGCTGTAACCCCCTAGGTCTCGCGTCCTCACCTGGGACACACAGATGGTCACGTACACCCAGAACGGGATGTGACGGCAGAGGAGGAAAGGTGGAGAAAGGGAAGGTGAAGACCACATCAGAATTTATGGACAAGCACAAACTTGAAGCCTAGAATTTGACTGCATGACAGAGTTTCCATTAGGAGGAAATTCGTTAGAAATGCCAAAGCTGAAGTTGAATGTATACACTGAGGGACATCTGTGTCAATGAACTGAATGTATAATAATAATGGATTCAAGACCCCATGAAATCAGATTTGGCATTTTGTGGCTTTTAGTTTCTGTCTGTTAGCCCAATTCCTCTATTAAAAATACCATGTGCTTTTGACTGGCAACGGCAAACCATAATTGTCTTCAGTTGTGCTAATGCTTGAACGTTATTTTTTTTAGTAACACTTCACCAGCTACAGGTGGAGAGGAGAGAGAGATAGAGCTGATTCAATGGATGGGGATTATTAGGAGGCCATGACTGACAAGGGCCAAGTGGAGGGAATTTGGCCAGGACACCGGGGGTACACCCCTACTCTTTACGAGAAGTGCCATGGGATTTTTAATGACCACAGAGAGTCAGGACCTCGGTTTAACGTCTCGTCCGAAGGAAGGTGCTTTTTACAGTATAGTCTCCCCATCACTATACTGGGGCGTTAGGACCCACACAGACCACAGGGTGAGCACCCCCTGCTGGCCTCACTAACACCTCTTCCAACAGCAACCTAGTTTTCCCAGGAGGTCTCCCATCCAGGTACTGACCAGGCTCAACCCTGCTTAGCTTCAGTGGGCAACCAGTCTTGGGCTACAGGGTGATATGGCTGTGGCGAAAGACGTGTCAAGACGAAAAAGAAAAAGGCCCTTGTCAGACTATCACATGAGGTCTTTAAATAAGATGACAGTCATAAAAGAAAAGACGAAGTCTGATAGTTAGCAGAACTTCAACCCACAAAACTAACCAAAAAGCCCCAACTGTCCACATAAAACACAGAGGGCTTCAACCAAAGTGTAATGCAGAAACAAAACCGGATAGCCTAAAACTATTCATTTATTAAAGTGTTTCAGTGTAAAGATATAGTGCTGTATTGTGGTTAGGGTCATAATTCCAAAGCCAATTGCAAAGGAAACTAACCAATTAGGATGAAAACCAGTGCCACCAGGACTATACAGATTTACATGCATAAACGTCCATCAACAATAAACTTGGCATCTTGAACTCAGAAAAACATTGAAACACACTTGCACATATGTAAGATGCATATAGTTCTATCAGCCACACAATACACCTTTCTCTCCCATTCAGACATGATCACACAAACACACACAATCATCTCTTACCTTGCCCTGCTTGATGACTTTCTTAACAGCCTCAGACACCATGTTTGAATGATACTCAAGACTGAAAGAAAAAACCCACTTGCATAAATACAATTACCAAGACTGGTCAAAAGTTTAGAATAATTAACATTGTTTTAAACATCTTTGAGAGAAGTCTTTTATGCTCACTAATGTTGCATTTATTTGATAAAAAAAAACTGTAATATTGTGAAATATTACAATTTAAGTAACTGTTTTCTATTTGAATAGATTTTAAAATGTAATTTATTCCTCTGTGACACTGAAGACTGTAATAAGCTATGCTATTGTATCAGGAATAAATTATAATTTAAAATATATGCAAATAGTTATTTTAAATGTCAGTAATATTTCACTATATCACTGTTTTCGCTGTATTTTAATCAAATACATACAGCCTTGTTGTGCACAAGAGACTTTCAAAAACATTAAAAAAATATTTTTTTTAAATCCTAATTATTCCAAACTTAGGACCACAAAACATGTAAAAGGCAAATTCAGATGACAAACTGTCCGAATTAAGAGATGAAAACCATGTTGAATGTGAATATGTGGTCAACACAGATTAAAGGTAAAATTTAAAGGGTAAAAACAAGATATGATTGTCAAACAAAGTAAATATGGAATATCAAAGCTGGACAACAGAGGAAGACTCACTTGAGGTGTCTCAACATGTTGGATGCAGTGAGGAGCATAGCAGTAGGGTTTGCAATATTCCTGCCGACAGCCTGAGCAAAGGGATGTCTGGCTCCCTGATTGTAAATACAAGACGACAGGAATCACTGTTAAGTTGTCATACACACTTCAAAGCAGTTTATTCTGAGTCTGTAACTGTTACAGTTGATGTATAATGAAAGAAGGAATGAAAAACAAGATTTAGTCACCAACCGTTTCAAACACGGCATATTCTGCACTGTAACTCTCGCCTGGAACTACACCGGCTCCGCCACCAGTCCTGCTGCCAGATTATCAATGATGTTGCCGTAGAGATTTGGCATCACTAGCACATCAAACTGATAAGGATTCTGGACCAGCTGTGGGCCCCAGAAGAATATACTACTTATATAGGCCATTCTCATTGCTGGTCATTAACAATAAAAGACAAGAAACTATACCTGCATGCAGCAGTTATCAATGATGATGCTTTCATATTTAATCTTGGGGTAAAGCTCAGCCACTTCCGCACAGCTCTGCAGGAAGAGACCATCCCCGAGTTTCCTGCAAAGATAATCCGAGGTGAGTGTGTCTATGTGTTTAGCTTTAAAACTGCATGGCAGAATAATACTGCCCCACTTACATAATGTTTGCTTTGTGGACAGCGGTCACTTTGCTGCGGCCTTTCTTGGTGGCGTAGTCGAATGCAAATTTAGCGATGCGGCGAGATTTCTCTCTGGTGATGATCTTCAGGCATGCAACCACTCCTGAAACACTCTACAAACACAGAGGTGCTCATAATGCAGATGTACACTATAGTGTTTTTTTTTTTAAGAAATTAATAATTTTCTTAATGCAATTCAAAAAATGCATTAAGTTGATCAAAAGGGTTTCATTTCAAATAAATGCTGTTCTTTCTATTCATCAAAACATCCTGAAAAAAATATATCACGGTTTCCACAAAAATATTAAGCAGCTCAACTGTTTTTGACATTGATAATAATAAGAAATATTTCTTGAGCACCAAATCAGCATATCAGAATGATTTCTGAAGGATCATGTGACACTGAAGACTGGAGTAATGATGCTGAAAATTCAGCTTTTCCATCACAGGGATATTTTACATTTTCAAATATATTAAAATATACAAAAAAAAAGTTATTTTGAATTGTAATAACATTTCACAATATTACTGTTTTTATTGTACTTTGATTAAATAAATGCAGCCTTGGTGAACATAAGAGACGTCTTTAAAAAACTTTTGCCTGGTAATGTTGGGGACGATCTAAATTACTTCAGATTTTTTTTTTTAAGTCGACGTTTACAGTGGGTATAGAAAAGAATCACCCCCCTTTAAAATAATCACATTTTGTTGCTTTGCAGCCTGAAATGAAGACGTACACAGTTTTTGTTTTAACCAGCTGTATTTACTCAGTGCAACTTATAACAGCCAAGTTAAAGATAGAACACCAACATGTCAGAAAATAAATAAATAAAAAAACAGAATCAACCCCTATATTGTATCAGAAAATAATATGCTTCAAAAGTTACTTTTGCAGATTCTGTTTTAGAAAGGGGCAATAAACTATTATCATATTTATGTTAAAGCAAAAGTGGTAGAAAGGAGTTTAGATTGTCTTTACATGTTTGATGAATCATGCTAAATAAGATGTTTGTGTTAAAGCAATAATTTTAACTTTTTGTGTGAAATGTGTCATTATATCACCCTTACATTTTTCCAAACCCCTGTACTATTTCTTGTAAAACACAAAAGGAAAATATCAGATTTTTTTCTTTTTTTTATTTCATATCACGATAGTTGATAGTAACCACATCTCAGCATAAAAACAAAAAAGACACAAAGCATCATAAAAGCTCATGTGATGCATGTTATATTTCAAAGCAATATGTAAGCTTTGCGTGTGAAATAGACCTAAATTTAAATAACTGACAATGATTCCTTCCAGATCTGTTGGATCTTTCAGCCCAATATGTGAATCGGATCAACTAATTCATTGAGAACAATTAGCTCAAAATAAAGTTTCATTCAAGAAATTAACACTGGTTCTCGAGTTCAACTCAATGTCTCAAATATCTGGTCAACAGCCCATGGGAGGGAAAGATTATCAAAACCGTAAAACGTATGTACCTCACACAGAAATAAATGATTTAAGCACAACAAATACCTCATGCTCCAGAGAGCTGTATTCTCCCTCTGTCTGCTCCCGTATGATGACCAGATCCAGGTTATTGTGGCGGGTGCTATATCCAGGCAGGCTGTTCACATGAACCACATTGGCAAACAGGTCCAGCTTTCTCCTGTACATCATAAAACAAGAAATAATCAATCAATCAACCAATCAATCAAAAACTAGCAGTACAAGGCAGCAATGGACATATGTTAAAGGGGTGGTTCACTGGTTTTTTTGTAGGCTTGATTGTGTTTATGGGGTGCAGTCTAACATGTGTTAATGCTTCGTTTTTTTTAAAAACGCATTTTCTTTTCTTCACATAATTTACCTTTATTCCACACCGCTCTGTCCCTTCTCTGAGAAACGTGCAGATCATTTCCTTCTTTTATGAAGCCCCGCCCTCATAAATAGGCGATGGGCTCTGATTGGTTAGCTAGACCAGTGTGTTGTGATTGGCTCAACCGTCTCTAGTGCGTGTCTAAACATCCCGCCCCTCCCCTCAGCGGCATGTGCTCCAGTTGTGTTGTAAACAACGGCGTCGTTAATATCGCTTATCAGTTTGAGCCCGATTGAGAAGCAGATGAAATTATTGAAGAGGATCATGCAGAACCTGTGCAAGCACGGCTTTTAATGGTAGGCCTATGTTTTATGTTTGTTGTTGTCTCATACTTTTAGATACGCTGTTATTTGTAAATGCTACTGCTTATGTTAGCTTTTAATATATGGTTTTATCCTGATTAAAGCTTTAATACAGTACGGCAACTGCACGTGCGCGTCCATGTTTAACGCTTCTCATAGCTATGTGAAAATAAGTGTATAATTGTAACAGTTCATTGTTGGAGCGGAGCTGAGCTGAATGAGAGAGATGCTTTGTCTCAATGTGCCTACTTATACTACGCCCTTAAAGTATGTACTCTTTTGGTGAAGAAAAAGTACACACTTTTGAGTATGTAGTAGAAGAGTAGGCAAGCTTTGGGACATACTATCACGTCATACAACTGCATCTTAACGGACGCACTGTGGCATAGATACACGCACCCTGTCACTGTAAACTGGCCTGTCAATCATCTTGTCACACTTAACATCCTCCACATTGCATTTCATTCAACTTTCTACCGTATTGGAGAGAAAAGTAGCACCACATTGATCTGCCAGTCGCGAGTCTTTCATGCCGAGAACTCTGCTCATATTTTATGCATAATGATGCATTTAAAAGTTAACGACCAAACGGATGTTTATAAAAGTTTACTTTGCTGTTGCAGATGAAATATAACACAGATAACATTAAATAAATATTTTTTACCAGGTTAAATGCTGAATATTAGTAACTCAAACCCCTTTTTCTAAGCCTCTCTACCTAACCGCCGGTCGTGCACATCCGCCATGTTTGTAGTTTTTAACGCGTTTTATTCATGTTTGTAGTTCTGGACAGAATCCTTCACCAAAGCGCAATGGATTGTGGGCAATATTAGCCATTA